TTCTTCATGAATGTTTTTTTTACTATTCGACATACCTAACTTGAAAGGGAATGGGAAGTGGCAATGCACGATATATCAATAACACCTGGTCATATTATATATTATAATATACATTCAATTAAACACAAAATATGTGTTAAATATATTGAGAAATTCAGAAAATACTTACAAATGCCATTTTCGTCTATCAGATGGGAATGAAATGTTCAGGGAAGTTATTTTGGATTAAATCTATGCATAAACGCTGCAGGCATAAGTACCACATATTCGCTACAAGGTAAATTAGTATCAGTATTTTCATATCTAGCATTGTAATCTTTTGCTAAAATAGCAATATAATTGTATTTATTTTTGACAGAGATCAAGTAGTAGGAGTATCCCTTCGCTATTCATGACTGCACTGACAGGTTTTTCATGTAAATTTCTATGGCTCAGGATATACGAAATCAATAATTTATACAAGTATTACGCGATTGGAGAATAAGGGTGAATATAAATAATTGATAACTCATAACAAACTATGTATAGTAAAGTTTAATAAACTGTGTGTACATAAATTGCTTGGAAAGTCGGTGGTCTGATTTGAATACTCCGTATTCGAATATTTGATGGCATAGCGGATTACACAGTTGACAAATTTCTCTGTATTGTCGCGGGCTCGACATTATATAGAAATCCTCATAGCCAGACTATATTATAGAAATGTTCGTAACAAGGCCGTAGTGAGCTATCATCATTACCATACACCATTCTATACTGGAGCTAGTTTTGTGATAAATTAAAGTGACTCTAAGATGAAATGAGATAGCTGTTGAATTTTACCTGCTGATCATGACTACTTAAGGCAATGTAATTTGTGTACATCTCTGGTCTCCATAATATACGACATGATGTGTGTATATTAGGAAAACCTATTTTATTTTAGCGTTAAATCTATTGTATAGCGCATCGGACAGAGGCGCCTCTTAAAAACAAGTCGAGATGCTACTGGTCAACAGTACAATTTGCTTACCTAAATTATAGTAGGTTGGCCATTTAAACAAGATGTGATAAATAACAAACTTTATGATCTAAGACAAAAGCCAATGACCGACAACAGATTGCCCATTGAACAATGGTCTGTCAGATCAGCCAATACAGCCTTTTCTTCTTAACACAGTAAACCAGTCATATTTATGAGAACAAATGCTCTTAGCAAATGCAAATTGATAACATAAAAGTCCTTTTTTAAAAGTCATACTCTAAAAAAGCACATTTAGTGTATATAAATCCAAAAATGAAGTCAAATTTGTTTAAGGCACGTACTAGTACAAAGAAAAACGAGAGGATTATGTGATTTCCATAATCTCTAAGTTCAGATGGATATATATCATTAGAATACAATTTTAGATAATGAGCTATATATGAATATTCACCCATGTAGACATAGTATGTGTAACATGTATACATACCTTCTTCTTATTGATTGAACAATGTACTGTGGTGTACGTGCTTATTTTTTATATTTGCGTGTTCTTGGACTTAGTATAGTTAGTATCGTTTGGCTTTGCTGTTATTTATATGTTGCTGCAAATTCATTACAGATTTCAAAGAGCCGAAGTCGTTGTGCAGTGCTTTTAAATATTATGTCAATAATCTTTTTTTCACACATATTGCGCATGTCACATGGGGCCTATATCAAACATGGCACAGCACATTGTACATGTCACACTGTCAAGTTTTGTGATGAAATATGCTATATAGATGAAGTATAGAACCATTCAGTTAAAAAGCAATGTATTATTTCAGACTGCTATCATAGAAGGTACATACCTTGCCGTGAAATACATGGGAACACAAAATGGCGGAAAAGGAGGCGTTGTAGTCAATGCCGGGTCAATATCTGGTGAGTTGTAACAAAGTGTTTCCAAATCGTACACATGCATAAACAGTAATACAATAATATACATCTTATATTCACTAATTTGAATTAATATACAGTTGAATTACACTAGTGTGTAAATTATATTTTTGTTCTCTTTAGGTTTGCGTCCGCACAATTTAGCCGCTGTATATGTCGCAAGCAAGCATGGAGTTATTGGATTCACACGAAGTGTAGCGGTGAGTTTGACATAATCTATGGAAATTACACACTCGGAAGAATTAGAACAAGGCCACTTTGCCCATTCTTATTATGTATATGTGATCGCATACAAGTGTATGGTTATTGTGGTATGATGTGCATGTTAAATGTAGTCATGTAGTCACATTTCGGTGGAAAAAGAACAAATGTTTACAATATTATCTCTGGAAACTGTCTTCCGCCATTTCCTACATTGACAGAATAGCACATATTTACACTTTGCAGTTAGAGCCAGACATGGTAAGAAATGGAGTTCGTGTTGTTGCTAAATGTCCGAATACTGTGGACACAACACTGATTTCAATTGCCTTGGAGAAAGGGGTGAAATACACAAAAGAATTGAAACAAGATATAGCAGGCAGGGCAGTTAATGCTAAAGTAAGTAATGTACATTGTTTATAATAAAGTGAGCATTCTTTTTAGACACCATGACTGCGGAAAAAAGAAGTAACTACAAAATTCAAAAAGCTTATCCAAGCGTTTAAACCTATTAAAGTTAAATAAAGTAATACTATTCAGTAAGTTAGACAAAATATTAATACATTAAGACGTTATTTGCAGCCGATATTTTTGGATCTGTGATTGTGGTATAGCGAAGTGCGAGTCTTACATTAGGAAGGTGATTTGCTGTGATCGTGAGTTCGAATCTTGTGTTTGTATGTTCGGAGATAGGAAATCAAATTTTTGCAAATTTGTATTCCAACTTGGCGCTATACGACAGGAAAAGGCCAGCCTATATATCAATATTTCGGCAACAACAGATCTTTAGAAAGATTTCGAAATAGCAACTTCACGAATTAATTTCAATCCTATTTGCCTGCCAAGCTAGTTGAACAATCAACATTTTTAATGTTAGCGGCATTAAATCAAATCAGGGTCAATAAGCACAGAAAGTGCAATATTGTGTTCAAAAACAGCTTCAGGAAAAAACGGCAATAAGAAACATGTTCTATACAAAATCTGAGATGACAGCCACACCAGCTGACTGATCAATATTATTTTATTTTTCTTGTGAAAGGCTTTAGTTACCGCATAATTTCAATCCGATTAGTTAAAGCATTGATGAAAAACAAAAATTACAAATGCTTGCCAAAAATCAAATTTACTTTTTAAGGTTTAGCCATGGACACTACATACCCATGGTTAAAGCACCAATGCAAATTTTCTAAGACTGATCAAAATTATTTTATCTGTTTTGACTCTGCATTCACAATTTCAAGTCGATTGGTTAAATCACTTATGGAAAGGACATGCTCATAGTCAATTTTGATGTTAATCAAAGATGGCTGTTCGAAGTAGTCCAGTATAGAGAAACAACATGGTTAATCTCAAATCGATTAGATAACTGTGGCATCGATATGAAATCAGAATGTCTTGACTACAAGCTTTGATAATTATTATCTATCAGACCTATAACTTAGCACACTAACCTGAAACTTTGTTTTCATTATATAGCACAAAACAATTTGCTCTTCAAAAATATTTTTGTCGCTAAAATCTTGTTATATATCGTATATTGTAGATTCATGTTATATCATTCTAAAAAGATTATACAATTAATCACAATTGTACTGTTAAAGGTACAACATATACTTTTTAGTATTACATAACCAATATTTATTTATTTAGATAAACACCGTAATAAACATATAACAAGTTTTATTGGTGATGTACTACCGTCAAATTCTAAGACAAAAAGATAATTTATTCTTGTAAATAAGTACCGACGATCCAACAACGGGGACTTGTAGTTTTTATTACTTGACTAGATAGATCACATATATGTATATATCTTTACCATTTCACGATTCAAATCAAGATGGTGGAATAGCGGCCATTTTAGTGCTAACAATTCAACGAAATGAAGCATTTCTGCCATACCAGAATCTGAATATAACTGGATTTTATTCAAACTTTGAACAAAACAATGTGCTTGTATCAGTGTGCAAATGTGTACCATACACCATAACTGGAGGTGTACACAATCAGTAGAAATCTGTTGCATCTTTATTGGACACATTCTAAAAATTCACAGATAACATTTGTTATCGGTATTGACCAGTTTTTTCAGGGCTTCGGTCATCTTTCCAAAAAAAAGAAAAAAATCGCTGAATATATGTCATTACATATGTTTAATCTTAAACATTCTGAACTTTCTCTACGTGTTGTAAATTTACAACTGTTAAATAATAACGAGTCGGTGATGCCAACATTTCATATGATTTCATTAGACGATAATGATTTATATGTCGCAATGTCGCATATGCGAACAAATAGTGGAACAGAGCTTAATAAGGTGTACGTTGACAAACTTAGAAACTTTTCAACCGAAAATCTTAAAACCGACTTAGAAACATGCGATTCACTTCCCATCGATGTGATATATCATCAGTGTAAATTAAATGTTTAATAATATCTCGTCCTCATTACCATACGAGGGATGGTATAGAACCGTGTCGTCTGCAAATGTTGTATATGAAAAGTTAAATTGCAACGTAACACCGCGTACCGTGGAAGTGGAAAGGGATCAACACATATATTGCTATCAATCAATACACACAATGCCCCCATTTTTTCTGTACTCGAAAAACCGATCGTTTTGAGTCACGAGAACGACACAAAAATACTTTTATCTGAAATGATGATCAACAACCTAACATCGATATAGTAATACTACTTTGTTCAAATTAAACAATGTTAAATGTTCTTAATCTATTTATTCATGCATATATGGAATATAATATATATGTGAGTACCAGTTTTCACGTTTTCGTTATCTAATAAACTTTGTTGGTGATTAGCTATGTATCTGAGTGTTTTGGATAATCAATGACCTTGAACAATAACGATCATATTGACGCATCAAACAACCAATGATGAGCTCAATATGACATAGAGCAGAACCAGAGTTCCTTTTTATTGTGAAAGTTATTGTTTTTATGATGAAAGTGACAGCCATCAGGGAAAAACATGTGCATTTCATGATGACAATAAAAAAGGGAATTTAGGAGAATGTTTTTTTTTAAATGTTGATACAATTAGAAAGCTTTGGATCCTTGTTTCAGGCTAATTTAAATCAGTTCCCGCTTCGCGGCATAAGATGACAAAAGAATCTGATATGTTGGGCCCGCCCGTCTCTAAACAGTAAATTATACTAGATGTGATTTACTAGCTGGAAATGGGATATTGCAGAAATGAAGCTATGGCTAGACTGTAAGCCCCATGGGTTCAAGTTATAGGTCCTGTCACATTGTGTTTTGAGCTTGGTGAATTGTAATGTTTCATTAATCTAAGGCATCACTGGATGTTCACTATTAGATCTGTTTAATTTTTTTAAAAGAGCCTTTTTAGTCGCGCTTGCCGCGCGTTTTGCCAGCGCGCTCAGCTACGCGCTTTGAGTCATTCGATCTGCGATTGCGCAGTTCGTCTACATACAAAAATCTGAGAGTCATGGGCTTTGCCTTGTGACGGCAGTTTGTTTGATTTTGTTACGTATTTTGCGGGTTTTGGCTCTATATTACATATTATGTACAGTGTATTTGTTGAAAGAGAATAGTGTTGACAGAAACCTATACTCAAGCAGTGTACAGCTCAGTGTGCAGCTTGTTTCAGTGTTCTAATGCAAACTGGAACGCAGTGTAGCGTATAGCTGCACACATCAATTCTTCGTCAGGCTGAAGCTGCTGGAATTATGTTTATGAATACAACCGTGAAAGTAAAAAGGCGGTAGAATTCAATCACTGCTCTTGAACTCTTTCAACTTTATTTGTGTTCATACATGCTTTCAGCTGTACAAGCGTGAACTAGAAGTTTGCCATGATTTATGTTTTTAGATTTATTCGGTATAATAATACAAATGTTCAAATTTGTATGTCACCCTCTCTAACAGCAAGAACGACAGCTCCACGCTATAAAATACACCATTGCACACATTTGCCTTAGTTTGTGTTCTGTCTGTATTTAATAGTTCTCCAGTAAGCGTGTTAGTAGTTGATTGGCAAGCCATAAACAGTATTTTTAATAAGTCATATTTCTATCGTTGCCAGTCACAAAGTCGCTGAAGTTCACCTAGATACATCTTCGCAGTCATAGACAACGGTTCACTGTGGTGTCGATGATAATTTAAAGGGTTCAGCAAACATGTTTCTGTTATTCAACATAAAAGCGCGGCAGTATTCATGTAGCGCGTTCAGAGTGCATACAGTGAACGATGCATTTTACGTGCGTTTTATACGCTACATGAGATACGCATGTAAACTGGGATTAAAATGTCTCATATAGACAAAGATGGCAACTTTGACTGTTGCAACGAGTACACACTGAGACATTACCACGCTTTAATGGAGTATTTTTAGGTGATTGAAAGGTATCGAAAGAGACACCGGCGGTAATTAGTTCAAGTCGCGCCCAGGTCAAACCTTTTACTTGTGATTTCATTAGAAGAGCGCATTGGATTGTGGGAAAATCACTGTTTATGAACATAAATGTTGCACACGCGCAGCGCGATGACCGTCGGCCATTAAACTTCGAATGCATGTCTCTTGTTGAAGAGATATGCAGGGTTTTTGATACATATTTTTTTATGTTTAACCATAGCAGTTGTACCGCACTTGAATTACAATTGAACTAATGGAAGAGGTGCGTCATGTGTATGAAATAAAATTGGATATTCCTGTTTTTCTTTACGTTTGTTCAAATTAGGGAAAATAACGACTTCGATTCGAATACTAGTGGAGTAGGTAAAAGGAGTAATTAGAAACATCCCATATTCACTGACACGAAAATTCAAGTAGTGTGAACACATTATTAAGTTTAATATTGCAATGGTTCCTGGCCATTTTTTCTTTAATACTATGATAATGATTTCCCGATTTCGACAATGTAAATGATATTGTTTTTCCGGAAAAAAATACCTGAAAACAACAAATTTTCAATTTAGAAATATATTAAGAATATTTCATAACGGAATGTATTTTATAGGCACACCAATAATAATTTTCGTTACTACCGATGACACGCGAATGCCAAAGACAGAACATGATTTGTTATATTATGAATTATAACTGAACACAGCTGAATGAAATATATACATATATCTATAAAGCGTATATATCCACTCATATCTGAGCAATACTTTTACTAAATATGATTTTACTTGGTAAAAATATTGTAATTTCCTCCATAAAAACGAAAGAAACGTCGGAACATGAAAACTCGACACACTTCCCCCAAAGAAAACTGACCGTTTGAAGACCTTGTTTACATAATACACTTGACAACCATTATTCCACAACCTTAAATCTGCAAGGAATAGCTGTCAATCGAGTACGTAAATATTCATAATGACGGACTTCTTGTTAAGCATACATATATTTTAGAGTTGCATTCTGGGAAACGTGAAAATAACACGTGCTAGAAAATATATAATTAAAATTTACGTAACGTACACTGATTGATAGATATAGTATGCTCACGTGCGAACATAATTCGTAATGGAATCGCAAAAACAACATTCACACGTGATGTTAAATCATATTATTTTATGGTTATTTACAAAGTATGAAAAATTACCTTCATTTCCGCGTGCTTAATACTACCACGTATATGTCCCTTTCGTGTTTCATAACGATTACATTAATTGTATTTTCCAGTGACGTCTCAACCATTGTTCAGATGCCTAGAGTTGAATGTTCACAGTGGAATACACATGCATTGTACAGTTGTTGTATATCCGTAGCTGTAGGAAGGGACGTCGTTGTTATTCAAGATATTAACAGAAACGCTAAAACAAGTTATACATTAGTTTTTTTCACTTTGTGTTTCAGATAACCATTTTGTTTTATATTTGTAAGTGAGAGCTTTGTCCTGAACAATTGAATTGAATTAGAATATTAGATGTTAGTGATATGTTTCTCCCAAATTGTGGAATTTTTGGCAAAGTGCTTTGATGATACATCTACGCTGATTATCTCCAAACTATGACGTATGGGAGAATGTGTAGTCTATTTTTTATTTATATTGCGTAAAACGACGTTATATGATGTCACAATAATGGACATGAAAAGAAAAACACAAAAGAAAATCTATGAAAAAAGCGTTCCATTTTACACCAAAAATATGAGACAAAAAACACAGTAAAGTTTGATAACATTTGTGTTATCCATCACATTGATTAGATTTATGCTCTTCATAATCGTTTTATTCAAAACGTTTCGTAACATTTCCTTTGCTTCAGTCAGCTTGTAATATCCTACCTGTGTTAACTATAACTTATTAATCATTATCGAGATCGCTGCTGTTGCATAGCAACCGTTCAGTGATGCATTTGTTAATTAACGAAGAGAGTAAATCGATATAAAAAATACAACCATTTACTGGTTTTTGTAAAGTGTGTAAATTATATTTTTTTTAAATATACATTTGTATTTATAACTGTATAAATACCATTGGCGAAGTTGACACGCACCTCAAAATGTTGACCTTAAAATGTTGACCTCAAAATGTTTCAACCGAGTAATAAATTGTTACAACGTGCTGTAATTTTGCGGTATTGCACAATCTATTTTCATCCTACGCGAATTCCAAATATGGAATATACGCGCGTTATAATAAAAAAACAGACATGGCTGCCCGAGGGTTTGACCGAACTCCAAACAAAGAAGTTCGTTAAATCTGTTCTAAATGTTTTGGATTTCGGCATTCCCATGATGTATCCCTGGGAGGAAAAGATGTATAATAATAAGGTTATTACGAGGATACTGCAAACTATGCATTCAGACTGCGCGTCGGTCGATGCTCCGGCTGTATTCCGTTGTAGTGTCAACTGTTCTTTAGTCATAGTAAAATTAAACAAAGCAACAGAAAACGGGAGTATGTTAAGTGTTACGAAGATGTCTCTCTGAAATGACGTTGATCAGCGAAACAAATCAAATAGATTTCATGTCCAAACTGTGTTGCCATGTAAATGACAGAGCTTACACATCAGTACATATTCACCGTCATATTAGATTTATTAACGACGTGTTGTATACGACGAACACGAATACCGTCGCTTTCTCGCTATGTATCATAGGAACTAATCTGTCTGAGACACGTCGTCGTTTTACATTGGCAGTTAGTACTCTTCGAACGTGATATCAAACATTCTTGTGCAATCTGTGTCACCTCATGATTTTTTGTATCCCCGGAGAATACTGTCGTATCGACAGATATCTATGGTTGTGGCATTCTCATGTACCTTTGAAATTAAATAACCTCATTGTACTTCACCATAAAATGACAACAATTGAACAATTGAGCAACATATAGGTCATTATGTGATAAGTAAGAAATCTCGGTGTCATACATATATTTACAAAGTACGTATTTTAAATGGGCTCTATAATTGTGTCAACCCATTATAAATTTAAAATTTGTAGATATAAGTTTTAATATTTCTTTTAAATGCATTTCGAGTGGAAATGCGTTTCAGCGTTAATGGTAATGTGTTTAATGAAATGGTTCCGTCGTAAATCATACAGATTATTCACCTCTCTTTTGTAGTGGTGTAAACATGTCAATTTATATTTAGTAAGATTCACATGTGCAACAGTGATAAAACAGATTTACAGGTAGTCCCACATCCACGCATGCAATGGGTTTTATTGAAAAAAAAACGATTTAAAAAAAACGACGGTCTTTAGTAGCTGGACTCATATGCTATACACTGCATCAGAGAGTCGACTCAATTGACAACGGGTCAAACTGGTATACAAAGGAAGACGAGCCACATTTTGTATAATTTATTTATTTCGCAAATAACTTCCATGTAAATGCGAAAACAACCTGTTATTTAACATAGAAAGCAAATAACACCGAATAAACGGCAAGGTAAAGACTATGTCTAATTATAGTAAACACGTACTGCGTGCGTGACTCGAACCAGCGCTCGCGTACGGCACCTAATCGCCAAGCTTCACGCCACCACACGTCTTCCCCTCGGCCACCGGGCATCCCCAAAAAAGGATGCTTAATGACCGAGCTTATTACGTGCAGAGAACATGAAACCCGTCCACGCGATCACAACTTACAAAATGGCCACCATTACCGTAACTATAACCAACATGTTTTAAAAAATAGTATAGTCATGACACTATCAATATTATATACTATAAATAAGTATGCCTTTAAAATTAAAACACTCTTGGCCGTTATTGCTGTTTTTTGTCACCAGAGTGTCTTAGATCATGAATGTTGGTCCTCTGAGCGTCTCTACGATACTACCGATAATAACTACGCGAAGAAAAACCACTACGTCATCATTGACAATAAAGTGTAAAACAATAATATTATAATGGTTTTCCGATATGTCTAGTGTTTTCAATAATGCAAAAATGTTTGCATTTTCATTTTTAAAAATGACGCCATACAATAGGCATATTCTAAATTTCTTTCAAATATACTATTACTATACTATATACAGTTAGATTGTGTTTTTGTAAATTTCTTTCAAATATATTGTTACTATACTATGCAATAGATTGTGTTTTTGCGAATTTCATTCAAATTTACTATTACTATACTATGTAATAGGTTCTGTGTTTTGTACATTCATTTCAAGGGATGGGTTAGTTTCAGGGGTAAATTTTGTCTCCGGACTGTGACTTTCACTAGAAGTTGGTGCTTCGCACACACTTATAATTAATAAATAATAATTAATGTTAACCAGGAGGAAATCAGAGTCTGCATTGACAATGTTTGCCAGAACGATTCACAGTAGTCTCCCACTGGCAGGCTGATTCACCTGTATTTCTATGAGTAGGATTTGGTTTGTACTGAAGTTTTGTATGAAATTACTATGTCAGTTGCAGGTAATGTGGGCGCCAATAACAGTTGAGTTCAAACACTAGCTTGTAAAGCAAACAGAAACATTGCTGTACTGTTGTGAACATCGTACAGTGCTTATCATCGACACTTCACAAACTAAACAAAATTGTATTATTTAAGGGAACAGAATAGAAGCCAATACAAACAGTGATTACACTACTCGTGGCGATAGAATAGAAGCCAATACAAACAGTGATTACAGAGTGATTAAACCACTCGTGGCGATCGATGATCCTGTAGCTGTCCAGGATAGCTGGATTCACAATTTATTATGTTCTCAATTTCTGCATGAAAAATCATTTTTTTAAATAAAGTGGTGGGCTAAAAAATATATATTTGAACATTTGCAGTTGACTGAAGAATGAAAAATAAACAACATTAAACATTGCCGTATAGCGAGCGAAGTCAATGTTTTTATTATTATGCTATTATTTTGTAAAAGACTGCGTTGCAAGATCCCTTCCGTCCAAATCCCCAATGACAGCATTCAAAATGTTCTCCATTCACAAGTAGCTGTTTCATCACACCGGCCCACTCAGACATAAACAAAACAATATAACAAGACATTTCCGGTTAAATGAACAATTTAATGAAGCGCACATGTATGTACGATACACAATGAGTATTATCTTGATGAAATAAATAAAAAAAACTAGACTTCGGTTTAGGACGCCAACAAATCCTAGATCGCCGTGCAAAATTCATGTAATCATGGTGTACTCTTATTATTATTATGTATGTTCCCAAAAATGTCCAGACTAGTCTTCACCGCTTTGTCCAAGATGTTGGAATGAATATGACCTATTTTAAATTCTGTACAACCATTGGTAAGTACGGCGTTCCATTCTATTCATATTTACATTTTTCTAGACACGCTCTTGTTGCTGAGTGTGCAGAGTCAATAACAGAAATGCAGCAGAACACTTCGCCATTTCTTGAGACACACGTCGACTTCATATGCATTGTAACATCGATACTCATATCAATGACAGATGAATCATGAATTTTAACGACGCTTACATCTAGACCAAGACTTTCGGAGAGTGCAATGCTATTCAATTTCTATCCTTGTTTTCCTTGCTTAAAAATTTACCCAACTTGTTTGTGATTTGCTAATTTAAAGAATAATACAGTTTGACTTGAAGCGGCTCAGCCTATGTACATAATTTGCCGTGAAATACCAACAGTATCACATGTACACGCAACTGACTGCATAGTTCATTAATGGCTCTTTATATTATTGTTTTTGCATGAAAATAACACCGGAGATTGGCTTGTTCAAAGTAGCAGAATGCACTGTGACTATTAGTCATGCTTCAAATTCTTAGAAATCTCAATTTTGCATATTTCTTTCAGTCAATACCATTATTATTGAGCAAGCTTGTAACTATGAGTAAAGCAGTACATATGTAGTAGTATATAATCATATCGTCGTCATTTAGACGGTATTCACTTCAGTGATCTGAAATGATTCAGGGATTGAGTAGCACCCTAATTCAGTTGGTCTAGAATGTGATTCAAAATGAAGGCATACACATTGTATTACCTTTATTATCATAATGTATTGCTTTCAGGGCCCAGGATCTCACGTGATTGCAGACAACCTTGCATTATTATTGTGTATTTTATGAGATGTTACAATGAAACGAAATAAGCGCTACAATAACGTTTATTAACATTCCGTGCCTAGATGACGTCGGTAGACAGGGAACTGTGACGTAACTAAATAATGTCATGTCACAACAAGTATAAACACAGAGAAAACACTAACACGCGCTAACATTGTCCTAAAAACAGCTCCAAATGGCATGTAACAAGCAGGACCCCCAGTGATGAACAGTAATGAACGAGCCTACTCCCGGAAATATGCAAACACCATATAGCATATAACTAAATAACTAAGAATATGATTAAATAGTACCTACACAGTTACCTACAATGTCGACAAGTCAAGTGTCGCCATGGTAGCAGATAAAGTGACTATTGCCAGATAATCACAATTAAGCATATATAGCAAACTAAAACATACACACTCATACTGATATTAGCTCCTATTCTTGTTCTGCATTGAGAACCCATACGAACCATTGGAAATTATAATTATTTGGTATGCACTTCTGGAGAATAAAATGAGACATGTACGTCGCGACAATAGTTTAATTAACTCCCGCTAAAGTGCTTCCAATCATAAACATTGTGGTTCGAAAAAGACTAATATGTACTTTCACAGATAATTGACATATGGTTAGTACCTGAGCCGAAACGTGTGACCAGTGAAGTAGAAAATTCAATGAGAAATATTCTAATTATTCTCAAAGGCAGTGTTTAATATGCTATAATAACTTTTATGGTAATAAGAGCCTAGTAATTACCGGGAAAAGGAATTGTTGAGGAAATGATACCAGACGAAGTTGAGTGCATTTCAAAGAACGAATGTACACGAGAATTATTTAAGTAGAAATTAATCATATATTTATAAAAGAAACATATTTAAATTAGGAAATATTTGTTAAGCGTAGTTTATTGGATAAGAACTATATTAATCTTTGCAACAGAGCAGGGAATATGATGTCATGATATTTTTATGATTATTATTATTATTATTATTATTATTATTTTTATTGTAAGGACGATTCCGAATGTGGCATACCCAAGCTAGAGGACCTTTACATGTATTATGTGGACGTAATATTTGTTAATAACAAAATAATCACGTTCACCCATTGCGATTTTCTAAACAGTATTCGGCTTTACCGACAGTGTAAAGAATTTTATGAAGCAGAGTTTATTCATCTAAGCGTAGATATATCTTTTACAGATTGTTCACTGAATTGAATATTGTACTTTCTATCGTGTCTGCGTTTAGGCATTCTCCCATATGGCAATATTGACAACATAATTGTTTATCATCGTTACGAAAAAACTCCGATTCCGTCATTTATTTCTGGCACTATTTTCTAATCATTGAATTGTATATGTTAATGTAGTGACTATGTTGCAGGAATAAAAACTGTACTTTTTATACCAAATCAATCCAACTGATTAATATTGTTATTGTTCCGATTGATGACACCTCTATGTATGCGAAATTTGTCATTGTAGCGAAATGATTTGATACCTTGGAAACCAGCTAGCAATATCGTGAGAATCTATTCTCTATTGGCTGAATGATTTAGTAGGTGTAATCGGCTCATAAACATTGGTAGTAACCATAGAGACCGGGTGAATATATTACCTGGTCGGTTTATTAATCGTGGGCGCATTCGGTTATAATCATTCTGTCTTCTTCCACAAAAGTAGAAACACAGAACGGACTAGATTGCCTCAACTCTAAGGTAAGGATGACCCAAATTCAAGCGTTTTTATGTCTCGTTTAATTGTTGTATAGATGCGGCAATGTGTGTTAAAGATTCAAAACGTTTTTCTGGCACACAACGATCGATTTATTGCATAAATGCGAATTAGTAAATAATGCATAATTTCACGCCTCTGTTTGTATAATTTATCCCGTCCAATTTATTTGAATTGTTCTCATTAGTGTTACAAATACACAACATTTGTAATTAATATTGATTCTGTCCATCACACCCAAACCATAGTCACACAATTTAAAAATGGTTTTCCTAGGTATATTATTATTATTATATAATATTGGCCTCCTGAAAATAAGGTAAAGTATTACTTTGTTGATACGTTAATCATCTGTAGCAAACAGCGGCCAATATGTTCACTAGAAGGAATCAATAATGAAGTTTGGAGAAAAGGATATTTGTAAACATTTCATCTTGGTCTGTGACACTTTAAATTATCCACACGCTCATATTTTGTATTTTGTGTACGTTTACTACATTTATAAAAATAGGTTTATGTTGCGACTACCAAAATTCACTTTTATTTCTTCATTGTAATGTTCAAGGCAGCTTTATTTATATATATCACATACAATTATTTCAAATTACCTAATATTGTACATGAAAATAAACAAAACTTTATATTCTGTCTTGTTATGCATATAATATATATTCTGTGGTTTGTCATCAATTTGTGTATTTAAAATAGCTTTCAAAACCTTTAATCTAGAATGCTATATTTTTGATGTGATTGTCCCAACTGAATTCTTTCTGGTAATATGCAAATCGTTATACTATCTCATGACTGGCATGGGAATTTGGCCACAGGATTCACCGCGCCACTAATAAGTTAATAACTGTCAGATCCCATGCATTTCAGTGTCAGGCTGTGCCGCTCTGCCATAGTTTGTGTGATCATCTTCACATTACGCCCATCTGATATCTGATAAACAACAACACAAAACACAAAAAACAACACCTAACATAATTAACTCAAACTATCGTCTGTGTAATAGTAACATATATAGATATATCAATGGTTTCCTAATCAATAGGAACATTTTGAGACAAAAAATGCGCGATTAAAAAGATCTTAATGAACTCCTAGTGAACCACAATATCCTAAATCTTAGCATGGACACCGTAAATCGGATTTGTATCACGTTCTACTAGAATGTTACTGGTATGAACAATATGGATTTGGAAATGTGTAGTATTAATAGTACTGTACAATGTACGAGGCGCTGGGTCACAAAGATACGATCCTGTTTTGTATCAGAGTTCTGAAACACGTCTAATCATGATATATATATATATATATATATATATATATATATATATATATATATATATATATATATATATATATATATATATATATATATATATATATATATCGTGCGATATCTCATAGGCTGAGTCATCATTCATATCAGGGCGCAAGATTGCATAAACACATTTCTGATTTGAGTTAAAGCGCAAGATTATATATGTACTTC